AAGACAACGAGCCAGTGGGCAGTGGACATCTAAACAACAGGTCATGGGTTCCAGTCTCGGGTGCTGCACCATTTAGGGTTGGGCTATTCCAGTCTCCCTTGTCTTCGTCGATTTTGGTATCCCTCCTATGACGGGTGGACGCTGTGCGTGGCGGCTAGCGGGACTCGAACATGAGCACCAAGACAGAAGGGGACCAGCGATCCCGACTACGGTTAGGGAACTGGCGTCCAAGGGCCCCAACCGTATAATCCACATTAACACAATTATCAAAAGACACGCTAAACGGGCTAGCTGCCACGGAGCTCAACTACATACCATATCTTTGCCGGAATTTCTCATTTAATTGCTGGATGCAGTCTGAATTTTGGTTTGAAACCACTGAAGATGGATGCGCAGGGTCGCTATCCTGATATAACGCTTCTGTATGGAACAGAAGCGTGCACATTCTCTACCAGGTCCAAGCAAGGAAAACCAACTGCTTTCAACTCAACTGTCCTTCGGAAATACCAGATGCGAGAATTAGCGGGAACGGATCACAGAACCGGTGATGAGAGCCTGTCTTTAGCGAATATTCTATGGCGACGTCAGGGGGTGCTCACAGATCAAATGAATGAAAACGACTACGCAAGCACAAGTTGCAGGAAACGATTCAGAAACAGATGTGACCGCTGGAAAAAGCAGTTTATTGACACGACGTTTCGGATTCTGCCTCGAACACATCATCAGGAGCAGTCGCAGAGGTATTGGGAGTACATGGAGTGGAGTATTTAAAATGGCCGCAACATCACATTTTTAAGACGATAAGCAGCTCTTGTGAGTACTGCCGACTGGTTGGTACGATAATGACTTGACAGTCAGCGTCTGAGTCGTTAATTGCACCGAGTTTATCACCCCGAATAAATGAGAAAGTTTCCTTTCGAGGTGTACGTATCGGTAAGGGCTTGTCGCGCACCTGAACAATTGTTTTATTGACCTGCACTTTAAAACTCTTACAGGAGTGCACCTTCCGAGACCTTTGCCTTCAGACCTCTGAAGATGAACTCCTGGAGGAGTTCGAGAACTCAGGTCAGGTTTATTAAGGGGAATATAGGTAAATGCCTTTGAACTCTCTATTGGTACAGAGCAAGTATGAAATGCATTGGTTCAGCAGAGCATTTCAAAAGAATGGCGATGCTAGTAAATGGAACTGGATAAAAAGAGCAGACAATAAAAAACTCCTTAGTCATTGTTCGGAAATTATAGTTGTTTGAATTTCATTTGAGGGACTTTAAGGAGGAAAGCAGCCGTTCGTGGGGCAGGGGGGGAAGTATATGCGAGATAG